TACCCAGTTTTTAGTAAAAATAAAGTATATCAAGTTGCTTACTTTTCACTTTATATTAATAATTTGTGCTTATTTTGGATAATTAACCTCATATTTCCACATTTCAGGCTTTTGCTTATTACAATTTGTATAAGTACAGTCAATATAAAATGTGTTGTTATAGGTTATTGTAAGGCATGAGATTTTTGCTTTTATTTCAGTTCTGTGTCTTAATACATTTTCTCATACCTTTACTCTGAGCACAGAAGCAAACATTCTTGCATCCTCGGACACACCTCCAATGTAGAATTTTTTTTGAAACATTGGAGGGTGATCATTTTCATCCTGAATTTCAATATACACTTTAGCTGTATTGCCTGGAAGAAAAAATGATACATTTTTATTGGTTATTATTCTCTACAGAAAAATGCAATGGAGTAAATAATTACCATACTTTAAAAGAAAGCAATGGAAATAAATCAGAAAGTCCTTTCTAAATGGATGCCTAACCCTTCAAATGCAGAGAACACTGATATCTAGTATAATAGTGAAATCTAATATAATAATGTTATTCCTGTGATTTCTTTCAATTACAATGTCCTGATAATTTATCTTGCTTCATTTGATAGGCACTAAAGTATTGTGAGCTGCTAATTTAAATGAAATAATTAAACTCTTTGTGTTCAGAAACACTTTACATATCTTACCAATAATTATACTAAAGTGATACAAATATATACATTGTGCAATAGTAGAAAATACCATAAGCTAAATATATATATATATATTATTTTCATGTATAATAAAACCATCATTGATATTCTCCTAGACTAAAAGTGAACTACAATATTCTTACTTAAATATTAGTGATGGTTGAGTTGCTTTTTCTAAAAAGGAAAATCAAGTTTCATCATATACTAGAAACCATCTGTGTTAGAGGTTAATATCCACTCAAATATATAGCTGAAGATAAAACAATCATATTATTCATAAATTTTATTTATAGTGATTTAGATCACATTAAATATACCATAAAGAATATATTTCATCACCAGAAGTAAGAAAACCCTCCCTTCATTATATCTTTACTGAGAACAGCATTTTCTATGAGTCCAAGAATGATGTTTGACAAAGAATATAATGTATAAAATCAACTTTAAATCAGATAAAATTGGAAATAAGTGGTTATTAACTTTCCAGAAGTAGAAATAACTATCCTAATCCATGACCTAAGTAAACTTTTCTGATGCATTTCAATTATGACCAAATTTATGGCATTAGACCTACAAAATATTTGTTGGAAACAATATTTTTAGATATTTTATCTTGTAATTCCACTTCTGGAAATTTAAGTAATTATCATTAGCTAGTAGCACAGCAGGTTCAAAATTGGTATACAAGAAGTTTGTGTTGATTGGATGAAGTTACCTTGTCTTAATAAAAATTGAGAAATAGGCTATAAGCTGTGTTTTTCTTTTCTTTTTAAACTTCTCCTAAGGTTAGTTAGAGAGAAAATAGAGTTAATGCTAAGGTTTTGCCCATATTGTACTGGTACTCATTTCATTTCCCTCTTGTCTCTTTCCCACTCTTCTTGAACCAGAAGGACTAGAATACAGAGGAAAAATACGCTAGGTCAACAAAGAGCACCAGTGGCAGAGAAGAATTTGCAACTTGTGATTATGCTTCTCTATTCTACAGTGCCAGGGCTCTGATTTGCACACCAGTCAGCCACCACCAATCAAAATTCATCTAAAACAAAATCTATTTTTATCTTAACAGCAGAACCATTTTGTACTACTGATATCATTCTTCATTAAATCATTTAAAATGTAATGAAGTTTCCAAAGTGGAACAACTTATTTGACTATGACCTGACTTTGAATCTGGTTAGTCATTTCAGAAATAAGTAGATGACTACTTATTCAATATTTCTTGTGTCATTTTTCTCATAACCCCACTGGTACTCATGTATTCAAGTCTCTCAGTGCCTCACCTGTATGATTATACATTATTTGCTTTCCTAGTCATCACTTTCCAGTCTGTTCTGTATTCTGATGTCTTGGTGACTTTACAAAATTCAAACATGCTACATTAAGTCAAGTACTAAACCACAGTTCGTTCATTTGCACACTCTACTGTTTAATCATTCAAACATTCCATGAATCTTTTGAAGAACTGCCATGGGTTAGCCACTCTAGGTCTCACTGTGTGGGACAAGACATCAAATATATAATCTTAAAAACATTGGCTTAAGGTGTAGCTTAGTGGTATAGCACTTGTCTAGCATGCATGAGGCCCTGGATTTGTTCCCAGTTCTGCAAAAAATAACAACACAAAGCAATAATGTAAATAATTTATATCTAAATTAGCATGGAATAAAATGTTCCTAGTAATTTCACATAGTTTTCAGGTTTCATTTTACTCCCCTCTCAACTTTGTCATCACTGAAAGAATATATGTGTGACTTTGTGATAATAACTATGTGTGTATGTGTATAATTCCATTCCTCCCTCTACATACATACACCTACAAACATTATATATGTCACACATAATGCCATTCCAATGATACCATGCATGTTCACTTCATCATCATGTGCACTGTTCTCAGCCTGTTCTGATTTTATTCTTCTTCTCATGCCTACAAAGTCCTGAAGAACAAAATGCAGTATAGAACACACAATTCCAAATAATTCTGAGAATTCTAAGAAACTCATTATTGTGAGTGATCAGAATACCCTTCATTCAAATGATACTACAGTAATCCAATTTTGAACTTAATATATTTGACAAACACACAAAAGTTATGCACTGTATTCTCAAAACTCCTGAAAGAATAGTGAAGTAATTTTTTTGATATATTCTGTAGAAGAGTAACCTTGACACTCATTTAGGAAAATTATTATTTTCTAAATCATGCATTTATTTATATGTATTTTTATATTTGACTAAATGAGTATTGAAAGTTGTAATATATCACACATGGTTGGATAGATCAGAGGTAGATAGATAGATAGACAGATAGACAAATAAATTTAAGATAAAAATTCCTAACTGTTCTTGTTAATCCTCCTTGGGTTCTTGGGCCTATATGAGTTAATAAGGGCTTTGGAGTAAGACAGGCTATGGATGAGGTCCTATTATTCATTGTATAATCAAAATAAGATCATAAAATTGAAGATAATGGAAGCAGGTAATGTTATATTGTTAATATAGTTCAAGGGTGTCTCCTCAAGTTTTATGTGTTAGAATTTTAGTCCTCCGTGTGTCAACTGTAAAAAGTGCTGGAACTTTTAAGAGGCAGGGCCTTTTAGGAAGTCACTGAGGATGTTGACCTTAGAGGGATTAAAGTAGTTCTCATGGGATCTGGAGTTATTCTCTTAGATCATTTTGAAAAGAGCAAACTGGACTCACTTCTTGTTCTGGCTTCCTGTCTCTTCATATGATTTATGTTGTGATGCCATCCACTATGGGGACTTCACCAGAGCCAAGCGATTGTCAGTTATGCCACTGAATCCCCGAATTGTGAGCTAAATAAACACCTTTTCTTTATAAGTATTCATCCTTGTTATTTTCTTAGAGTAACAGAAAATGGACTAGTATAGATAGTGAACTAATTTCAGAAAAAATAGGTAAAAATGCTGAAATGGGCAAATATGCAATATTACATGATCAACTTTCAGTAAAATGAATTAATTTTATTTTTACTGCTATTGATTTTAGTTCTGGTTGCATGATTGAGCACATATTCTCAATTAGTGAGTACCTTAGTTATGGTCCCTATTTGTAATAACTGAAACAACAGAAGTCGATTTTCAACTCACTGAAAATAAATGCTAGATTTAGAAACATCTATGTTTTTCTGGCACATTAGTAAATGATAGCATAAGGTTAGGCACCTCTGGCAAAGATATTATGTTATTTGGAACACTTTGTGCTTTAAAAAAATCTTTCAAGAAACTAATATGCTCTTAGATATTGGGAAAAAATAATGTGAAAGTTGATATTGTAACCCCCAAAATACTAACATTAAAATAGTATACATATACATCTTATAAATGCACAGCAGACTGCAGTTAAATAAGCTTTTATAATATCAATTTAGCAGTTATCAAAAATCTGTAAAATTAATATCAATAGAAAAATTCAGAGAAATATTTGTTCTATTGATATTCAATGAGTTTAAATATTATGTAAATTACATTTTTAATTTTAATGATTGAACTGTACTTTTCCAACTCTTTCTTTGGTTGTAACATACTTCCAAAATAAGTATCATATCATTGATTGTGCTGAGGCTCATATTTGTCAAACTAGAATCTAATGTGCAATTTGATCATATCCAATTTTGTAGGCTAAAAACTGTCGAGATTAATGACAATAGTATTTCTATACCATAATTCTATTAGAAGATAATGAAGCATGATAATCAAAGTATTTAAATATCTTAGTTAAGAAATTATTCGTAGCTACATTTGGTTATCTTTAACTTTGTATAGTAATAATAATAATATGTAACAAAGATACAGTGATACTTCTGTTGTCAAATTTCACTAATTCTAAATTCGTGTTCCAACCCCCCAAAATTCGTGAACTGAACATATCTTTCCCATAAGAAATTATAGAAACCAAATAATTGGTTCTGGAGCTCCAAAATTACACTTATAAATTCATTTTTCTAGAATTTTAACAAATTTTGCACTGTTTACTTTCTTTAACTCTGTTGTGTTTCTCAACAGTATTCCTCTTACCTTTACAGCTAATAGCCTTAATGCCTTAATTTTCTTTGGAGCCATGGTTATGATATTTTATGCAAACGAAGAGCAAAATAAAAAGGGCAATGATGAATGTTTTAATGCACTAACATAAATACTGTATGTTCCGGGCAAGAGCAGAGCTTTGACTGAAGCGTCACTGCTTTGTGTCCCTGTCTACTACACTACGCGTGACTCTCTCAGCTCATACAGCTCTTTTCAAGTTGGATTTTCCGTTCGACTGTTGAGCAAAATTAGGAACACTAAGCAAATTTTTTTTTTGAACTAGTGGAAAGTTTCAATTTCGAGCCCTTCAACAACAGAGGTATCACTGTAAGCATCTCAGTTTTCAGTTGGATACCTTTCTTGCCCCTTCTTTTCTGATATAATTCTGTGTTCGTTTCTCCTCTTGATTACAAAAATAACGTTTAACAACTCTCCAGAGTAAATTGGTTTAGGATTGGAACATGAAACTGCGTTTCTTAACCAGGTAAATTCAGGGGCGGATTTTTAGCTCAGTGGTCCTGCGCCTGTCGGGCAACCATAAGATCCTGAGTTAAATTCCTATACCCCAAAAAACAAAACAAAACAAAACAAAAAAATTAAAGAGAAAAGAAAATAAAT